AATTGCCTCTTTTTAAAAAGTGTTATGCATATAGTAGAGTGAAATGCATAAACGTTGAGATCGATGCACAACAGAAACAGCCCATGCAGAACCCGTCCGGCCAGTGAAGATCATTACAGTGTGACGTCACATCACACATCGAAGAGCAACATTATCCTCAAATCCCTGCAAGTGCTCATCTGCACTTTTGTTCAACAAAGCAACACGCATATATGTCACGGCTCTTACAAAAATAATACAATCCTAATCAGATCTGAACGTTAACGCGCATTTGAAAGGCCACTTTAAGGTACTCTGTAGACACACTAATACTGTATTCAGGTCTCAAAAAATACTATTTACACGAGCGCGTGTTGTTTTCTGTAACCACTAGATGGCACCACACATTCCTGCAGAAACGGGAGATGATGCGGGAGGTTTCTGCACGTGTGCAAACTGGAGGGTTTTCCAAAGATTTTTGGTTGCTTAAAGTGTTTTTGACCCTGTTCCTGGTTCACCTTTGACCCCCCCCCCCCAGCCCTGCATTCAACCCCAAATCGGCAGCATCCGCGCAGATCTCCATGGAAACGGAATAAGATGCCAAAAGGTCACGGACTCCGATGCTTTGACTGTCTCGGGTTTGATGGTTGTTTCAGCTCGATGAAAGTGGCAGCTCAACTCGAGCTCAATTATCCTCAGCTTAGACATCGCCGCTATTGTAAGGGTCATTGTTCCTTCGCCATGGCAGCAATGCTGTTGTCAATGACGACCCATCTCCTCCAGAACCGTGGCGAGCTGGTTGAGGTTGCCGTGTGGGAAGTGTTGAGCTTCCCAGAGGTCCAGAATCACTCCGTGTGGACTCGTCTTAGTCGCAAAGTAGTTGAGATACCTGTAGGGTGAGATGAACACACACACACTGAGGTGGGCGGCAGGAGCACATCAACACATCAACATTTTAATGAGCTAGGTTTTTTTATTCTCTTTTATCATCCAGTGAAATCTGGTTTGACTTTGTCTTTTTATTTAGAACTTTGACAAATAAAAGAACAGAAAATAACACAATAAAAAAGTGGATTTATCAATAATATAACATTATTGGACTTCTAAAGCCACTTAATCAAACATTTGATCAGCTAAAGAGACACATAAGGATGAAAAACTGATGAATACAATACGGCTAATACAATAAGGATAATAATAAAAAAAAATTATATATATATATATATATATATATATGATAACTAATTCAATAAAAAAATGAATAAAATGTCTTTATTTTCTTCTACAATAAAAATATTATTGTTATTAATTAAAATATCTGTTATTATTTTAATGACATATTAAAAATGTTACCTTGGATTGTTTTTTTCTTATGAAATAAAGAAATGTATTACTAGTGCAATAATACTACTGCACTGCAAATAAACAAGTATTTATTATTATTAATAATAATAATAATACAAATTATTATTACAATAGTCATTTTGTGTCTCAACGCCTGATTTCAACTGATGACTGATAGAATTGACTTTTCAGATAATCTATAAAATGTATCTAACAAACACCAATATTTATGTCTGTCTTTGCTTTCATATGGTTTTTGCTTTGGTGGAAAACCTTAAAGCAGGGATTATAAACCTTTTTGACATAAAGACACGATATTCGTACTGCAGAAATATTATGTCTAGTAATTGCTTTATGTCTATTAAATGATGTACCCATCTGCCACAATAATGTATAGACTTGGATTGATCTTTATTTGAGGTCTTTTATCAGTAAATATTGATGGACGCAATTCATTTGATCAGTGGTGGAGGAAGTACTGAATCTCAGTACTTAAGTAAAAGTACAAATAACCAGATAAATAATTACTTTAGTAAAAGTAGAAGTAACACAATGACCACCATACTTAAGTAAAAAGTAAAAAGTACTTTATTTTAAATGTACTTTAAGTATTAAAAGTAAAAGTACTTGCATAACAATTTATTCTCTTAATGACTATTTTCTAATGATTAGTAAAACATTTAATTGTAACTCATTCAACCTAATACTCCTATAATGATGTTCAGTAATGATGGGGAAAAAAATTGTTGTCACCATTTCTGAAACAAGCTTTAGGCAATATAAACCATGCTTATCCTTACTATATGTTTATAACTATGTTTGTCAGTAAACGAGATTAATTTATGGTGTAATTCTGAACCTCTTGGTTTCCCATAATCTTAACTAAACGTATATTACACACGGTGTGTTTCCTATCCACGTAAAAACAAATTTTCGCGTGTAAATTGCACGATAAACACACTGCGTGCGAGACGCATTTAGTTGATGTATCTATGGCAACCAAACGTCACCGGTGAGACAAACGTGCAACGGACGGACGGTCAGATTACGTTTTTTGCAGGGGAAAAACTGATCAGAAAATGTAATGAAAATGTAACAGAAGTTGTAGAAATGTAGTGGAGTAGAAAGTAGAATAATTGCTGCAAAATGTAACGAAGTAAAAGTAAAAAGTAGGCACTATTTATTCTACTTAAGTAAAGTAAAGATACATGAAAAATGTATACTTAAGTAAAGTAGCGAAGTATTTGTACTTCGTTACATTCCACCACTGCATTTGATTAATTCATGGTAAAAAATATCCACACACACACACACACACCTGTGAGTGTCAATAAAACAACTGAATTCTATATTTCTATAAGGTGCTAAACCCCTTGATAACAGCTTGTTGCTTTGTATTTGTTCACCACTTCATGTTTTCCCATCTTTTTCTCATGTGTGCATAAAACAAATATAATGGCACATAACATCATCAGATCCTGTATTTCTCAAAGCTTAAACACAATATAGTGCAGTGTGTGAGTTGTGTTTTGAACAGTTTGTTAAAGGTGCAGAAGCTCTGGAGATCTTGAGTCTGCGACTGATGAAAAACTTTTCACGGCTTTTAACATCTTTCTTTTTTCCCAGAATCCTCCTCACTTTATCTCTCTACTTCCTGTCCCCTGTGAACTCAGACTCTCTCGTCTTCTGGCTCTTTCATGCCTGTTGGTCCTCAGAGCGTGCTCTCCACCTAAACTCTCTCTCTCTCGTTTGAAATGAGATCTCTGGTACTTTAACCGTCCTGCAGTAACACCCCAGCCAGAACTCAAACCATAGGGGTCCTTCGCCTTTTTACATTTCCTCTCTAATTACGCCAGTTGTGGAGGTGCATAGAGATGCTGGTGTTTTGAAAAGTTGGTGTCAGAGAGAGTGAATCTATCTCTTGCTATTCTCCAGGCAGACCCAAAAGAACAACAGGAAATTTCTCTTTCGCTCCCCTGCTGTTTTCACACCGTTCATTTCCTTCAAACTCTCCGGTGAGATTCTATTAGTGCAGATTTGTTTCTCTTCTATCGTTTTTTAAAATAAAAATACACACTGCAGTCTCAGCACATTGAAGATAAACAAATATTCATACTAGGTACGAGGTTATTTAAAAACCTTGACTTATTTATAGAAATTAGCATGGAGCTTGCCGTGTTGCAGGGGAACTACTGTACTGTAGATGGTATTTTGTTTTATTTTTGAGCATTTATAATGTGTTTATTTTAGGGCTGTCAAACGATAAATCGCGATTAATCACATCCAAAATTATAAATATATTTAAATATAAATAAATGTATAATTATTTTACACACCCAAGCTTGTATATGAAGAGTTCAGATGCAAAAGCCTCTAAATGCCATTCTTCTTTAATGATGATTTTTTTATCAAACTTGTATATTTAAGTTCAGTAATTTCACTTAAATAACAATTAATAGGTAATTATCATTGCCATTTAAGTGAAATCACTGAACTTAAATGTACAAGTTTGATAAAAAATCATCATTAAAGAAGAAAATTTCAAATGGCATTTAGAGGCTTTTGCATCTGAACTCTTCATATATTTAAGAAATATTTTCATGTATATACTGTATATAGATTTATATATAATTTATATTACATATATTTATAATGTTATTATTTTATATATTTTATATAAAATAATAATATTTTATATAAATATTTATATATAATTTATATATATTTTATATATAATTTATAAAAAAGCACAGTGCACCACATATACAGTAGTATGTAAATGTTTGACAGGCCTAATTTATTTATTTAAAAAAGAAGCCTAAGTGCATGCATGTTGGTAAAGCTGGCATAGAAAAATATTGAAATACGGTAAAAACACAAGCCCTAATATTATTTGCCTCCAATATCTATTGAACTACTTGTAATTAAAATAAAATATTGGCATACAGATATAGAATCTGATATAGTGCATTACAGTTCAAATGTTTGGGGTCAGTATGACTTTTTATTATTATTTATATACCTTTATTCAGCAAGGATGCATTAACTTGATGAATTTATCAAAGTTTTCAACATTGATAATAATAATGAGCAGCAAATCAGCCCATTATGATTTCTGAAGGATCATGTGACACTGAAGACTGGAGTAATGATGCTGAAAATTCAACACATTCTCATCCCAAAAAGTCATATAACTGACGTTTTGGGACGTCTTTTGACCATACGTCAATATTCGCCTTTTTAGGGCCCCCTTAAACGTCGCTAGATGGCGATCCCGGGCCGTCATACAACTGACGCTTTACCTTTAACGTCAGTTAGGTGACGGGTTAGGTTTAGGTTTAGGTCTGGGGTAGAGTTAGGATCCCATAACCTCATCTACCGACGTTTAAGGGGGGCCTAAAAAGGCGAATATTGACGTATGGTCAAAAGACGTCCAAAAACGTCAGTTATATGACTTTTTGGGGTGAGACTGCGCAGGAAAATTCAGTAAATTACATTTTACAATATAGAAAACAGTTACATTATATTTCACGATATTACTGTTTTTACTGCATTATTGATCAAATAAACGTAGCCTTGGTGAGCAGAAGAGACTCCTTTAGATTTTTTTAATAAACTCTCATGAAAAATTAATTGAAGGGCTGCATCATTGCGAGTGTGATGTGTGTAAATGTCACCTGTCCAGGTTGAGCTTGTGTGCCAGTATTCTCCAGTCGTTGCCGCGTGTGTGTGGGGCGTCCAGGCTGCTGCACAGTTTGGTCCTGATGCTGACGGGGATTCTGAACGCGCTCGGACCGGCCAACACTGTGATACTGCTGCCCGGGTCCATCAGGGATGTGTCGATGCTCTGGACGTCCTGCCAAACACACACACACACACACACACACACACTCCTTCAAATAAATGAGGTGTTTTGGTGTTTCTCACAGCCAGAATCACCCTTGTCTGTAACTATCGAGGATGTAATTTACAGATGGTTTGCTTACACTGATTACAGGTTCAGTCCTGGAGTAACCTGAGATTAAAGTGTCCTGATTGAGCGCTCAGTGCTGATGATGGATCGGTCACTGAACGGGAGAACAACCTTTCGTGATCAGACTTTATCCACGGGTTCCCTTAGCCAAGTAGAGTTACTTAAAGGAGTTAAAAAAAAAACTTTTGCTGTTAATTTACTCACCCCCATGTCATCCAAGATGTCCATGTCTTTCTTTCTTCAGTCGAAAAGAAATTAAGGTTTTTGATGAAAACATTCCAGCATTTTCTCCATATAATGGACTTCAATGGGGACCAAACGGTTCAAGGTCCAAAAGAGAGTTTCAGTGAAGCTTCAAAGGGCTTTAAACGACACCAGACGATGAATAAGGGTCTTATCAAGTGAAACGACCAGTCATTTCAAAAATAAATACAAAACTTTAAGTTTTATAAGCACAAATGCTCGCCTTGCTCTGTTCTGTGTGACTCTCCTGTTCGAACTCGTTCATCAAAATAAACGAATCTTTTTTCAAGTCATTTCGTTAGTTTTGTTCGTTGAATGAACCAAATGATTCGAAAAAAGATTTGTTCATTTTGATGAACGAGTTCGAACAGGAGAGTCACACAGAACAGAGCAAGGCGAGCATTTGTGCTTATAAAACGTACAAAATTTTAATTTATTTTTTAAATGAGCGATCGTTTCGCTAGATAAGACCCTTATTCATCGTCTGGTTTCGTTTAAAGTCCTTTGAAGCTGCACTGAAACTCTCATTTGGATCTTGAACCGTTTGGTTCTCATTGAAGTCCATTATATGGAGAAAAATCCTGGAATGTTTTCATCAAAAACCTTCATTTCTTTTCGACTGAAGAAAGAAAGACATGGACATCTTGGATAACATGGGGGTGAGTAAATTATCAGCAAAAGTTTTTTTTTAAAAGTGAACTACTCCTTTAACTTATTTCTGAAGCTGGAAATCTGAACTATTGTACCTTGGTTCTAGTATGAGACTTGGACTCTTAGGATATGAACCAGTAAGCAACGACCCAGAACATCATAGATGAAATATAAGCAGGGCTTGACATTAATACCCACCAAATGTGTATCAGCACGTAGTCACTCATACTAGCCACTTTGGCAGCTGGCATCTTATATAATAATTGAGGTCTTTTAAACAAAGGCATATGAAATAATAAACTAGATGCAATGTAGTCTTGTCAAAAATGTGATTTTTCGATGCATACCGATACTGAAATATAAGAAAAGCTTCAAAACAAATTTTCTGCAGAATAGATTAACTACACCAGCTTCTCTCTCTCTCTCTCTCTCTCTCTCTCCCCGACAGTGAGTAACACAAACCCGCCTCTCCTCACTCACTCATTTCATTTGCTCCGAATTAATATTATTGGTGTTGCAGGGCTTGAATTTCGGCGTGGGTTTGTGTGTATTACGCATAATTTTACTTATTCCCGCAGATTTTGCATTCACACCCAAAGTGCAGCACATAAAGCCACATTTCAGTACTAAATTAAGCTTTTTTTTTCACAGCTTATTGCACTTAAACGGTCAAATAGACATAAACTAATATCAAAATGTGAGATATTCATGTAAACACAGTCAGTTATGTTTTAAGTGAACGTAAACAGAAAGAAAATGCATGTGTAACAGTTTAATGGATCCGTGTATTAGAACTAATATACCTGCCACATTATGAGATAATATTAAAAATATGTATATGGCAGGTTTTCCCTATGGTATCGATGCCAAAATTGCCGCTACACTGTAAAAAAATATTGTTGGTTTAACTTAAAAAAGTAAGTAACCTGGTTGCCTTAAAATTTTAAGTTGATTGAACCGGAAAAAGTGAGTCAATACAATCAGAAACTCAAAATAATAAGTTATCTCAACTAAATAAATTATTATAAAGTTGATTTGACAAAAGAAAATATGTTGTGATAACAAATCTTGAAAATATTTTTTTACAGTGTAGTAGCTTTGGAAAACCACTAGCCATTAGCCGCGAAAAAGTTCATGTCAAGCCCTGAATATAAGTATTCTTATAGATACAGTCGGTTGGTCTGGGAACGCCCCCGGGAACGCCCCGTCACGTGGTGTGAATTTAGCCCGTGGGGGAAAACATTGCCTTGGCGCTCATTGAAATACATGGGACAATCATGCCGAAGAGTTGCGGTGTCGTTTTCTGTACCACAAATAAACAAACAAATTATAAATTGAAGTTCTACAGCCTTTCTTACATACATACAGAACCGGATAGGAGGACAAAATGGCAAAATTAATCATATCTTATTAGATTACTGTGTGAGTAGAGGTCCGTGTGATATAGTAGTAGATGTTTAACTCGTATTAGGCAGTGGGCCAGATTTGTCTGACGTTACATCCCTTACGAAAAAGAACTATAGTAATCCTATGGCTATTAGTATTCTATAGTAGTGTATAATACTTCTGTGATGTTCATTAATACCTATACTTCTAGGCTATGTCCCAAAATACTATAGTATTCCTATAGGATTAACGTTACTACTATAATATTTTGTCCTAAATACTACAAGATTCCTTTAGTTGTTTTTCATAAGGGATGTTATTAGCGTTATCAGCTGAAGGTTATCAGACTGCAGTCTGTGAGAATTCGGATAACTGTCAGCAAAGTCCCTCTGCAACTTCGTAGCGACTACTAATGATCACCGTTTTACAAAAGGATTAATAGTTTGGAGTGAAGCATACGTACAATTGGTAAGTGACATGGTTTTTATGGACTTATAGTAAAAATACGCAAGTTGATTGAGTTACAGGCTTGTGTTGCGGTAGCTTCCGCGATGTCTTACCTGAAGATTCAACCAGATATAATAGTCTGGAAACGACACCTCCGGCCATTTGTTGGGTCATTGACCCAGTTTTTAATTAAATAAGGGCAATCATAACCTATTACAGTTAATTTTGCAATGTACCGTTGCCGGTCGGCAGGCATAAATGACTCGCAATATGACATTTTTGTCATTCAAATACATAGGATGGTCGCGCTGCTTTCCCCCACACCGACCACGCCCCCCAACTATGACGCGTTGCCGACTGTATCTATAATCTGAAGTGTGCATTTAAAATGCAGTTATAATCATGCGATGATGAGTATTTGATTATAACTTTGACAATAATGAGTTACAGAGACTGATAACATGTCTGATCACTGACACACGTCTTGCTATAAAGTGCGTTTGTTGATTTGAAAGGCTCTCTTCACATGTTTAAAACAGCAGATTGAGAGTGTCAGAACTGGCGTCCGTCACCCCGCAGAGTTCGGCTGCTCTTATGGTATTTATAAAGCTCTCACAGAATCAAGGCTGTTTCACTGCTGGAGATATACTTTGCTTCTTGGAAATAATATCGACTGACATTTCGAATGCTGAAATCTCAATTGTGTGTGAGTGTGTGTGGAGGAGGCCCTTTAATTAAATGAGACTCATTCGTGATATTATTTGCAAAAAGCAACGGCATGCTTCTGCTTTTGTACATCTATAAGAATAAAACTGGAGGATATGAAAGAAGTTCAGTCGCCTTGCATTTGAGTGACAGACAATATAAAGTTTCCCACAAAAATGCAACCAAATCATCACTCGCTGCAAAAACATTCAACGCTAATGCGGCAAAAAATCTGTTATAATAATGAATAAAATATTAAAAGTTTGTATATATAGTAGTAACAACAATAATATTAATAAATTATATAAAATATTTATATATATAATATTTATGTATATATAAGTTCTATGAAACATTAATTAATAATATATGACTTTTTATCAAATCTTATATTATATTATATTAAATTAAATAAATAATTACATAATTATAATCAACAAATATTATTACAGGCATCTGTATATAATAATAATGATGATATTAATTCTACAATTATTATTACAATCTAAAAATAATATTAAAGTCTGTATATATTTTATAATAATGATAACAATAATAATTCTATTAGAATTAACGTTGAATTATTTCATATTAAATGTTGTATTAAATTACATGTCATATTATAATCAATACATACTGTAATTAACAAATATTAATATGGAAGTCTGTATATATTTTTTGTAATAATAATAAAAAATGCATTATATTATTATATTAATATTGAAGTCTGTTTACATTTTTTTATAATAATAATAATAATAATAATAAATTATATTATGACATAAAAAAGTAATATTGAATTACTTTATATTAAATGTTGTATTATATGAAATAACTTCTGGCCCTCAGTAAATGCCATTCTTCCAGTAGATCTAGTATCTGAAAACATTTTACAATATATTACACTAGAAAAACAGGTTTTTTTAAAATAAAATAAAATTTTTACTGTATTTAAAAAAAGATTAAATGCTGCCTTGATGAGCAGAAGAAACTTCCTTTAATATATATATATATATATATATATATATATATATAAAGTCAAACTTTTGAACAGTAGTGTATAATTTCACACGGACAAAAAATTAGTTTTAATTTCAATTAAACCACATCGAGAAAAAAAACAACAACTACATCCTGGTAGAATCCTCCTAATTCAGTTTAATTTAATATTATTGTACAAGTAAAACAAAATTTGCACCTTAGATATATTTACATATGAAAATCGATGTACTTTTTACTAGTTTAAAAAGGCAGGTGCATTGAACATCAGTCTGACAGAAGCTTCTGCGGCCCAGAACGACTCAATCCATCGTAATGCATCCATCTATAATGTTAATGAATCTGTGCTGTTCTTAATTAGACACATCGATTAAAGCCGAGGAGAGAAAGACACAGCGGCTTCCTGAAAACCCTCTGTGATGTATAGACAGACAAGTGAGGGTGTTAAGAGCAGCTGAGGCTCGTCTCAGCCCGTCAGATGGATTACACAGAAACAGCCTCTTCTCCAGAGACGCAAACACACGGGGAGTGTGTGAAAGACCACGGATCAGACACACAATGAACAATCTCACTCGCAGAATGCACTGCGACAAACTAAGAAATAATATTCATCCAAATATCACAAATGTATTTTTTGAAGAATATGTGGTGGGCATTGCTATTACGGTGTGTGTGTGTGTGTGCGAGGGTAGTGTGATTGATGACAGCGGTGGATACCTCACTCAGGGTGGTGTAGAGCTGGAAGATCTGACCTTCTCCCTCCACCTGTCTCACACACAGCTTACAGCACAGCTCACACACACACACACTCTGACGCTCCAGAGTGAAGGAGCAGTGCAGCCGCCGCACGGATCCGCTCCACACCTGAGAGAAACACAGCTCCTGTACACACACACACACACACACATCACCATCACATCACCTCTGCACATAATATATTAATATAAAGTCTTAATAAAATACTTTATAATAAATATTATATAACTTAATCACTTAAATTATATTATTAAATATGAAAATAATGAATCTGTATAACAGTGAAATCTTAAAATGTATTAATAATGCTAAATAATATTAAAATTAAGTAATATTAAATGACTATTTTATCAGGCTAACTCTTTATCATATATCAGTATATATTTAATAAAAATAATAACAAATTACAAAAAAAACTATAAAAGACTATTTTAAATGTTATAATAACTTAATAATGTAAATAAAAAAAATAAAATAATAAAATATTAAAAGTCTGTATATATAGTAACAACAATAATATTAATAAATTATATAAAATATTTATATATAATATTTATTTATATATATAGTAAGTAAGTAAGTACATTTATTTGTCCTCGTGAGGAAATTTGTTTGCATAGCAATCAAGTAGGCATTTCAACATACATACGACATACATCATACACACACACAAGAATAAATAAATAAAAGAAAAAATACAAAGACACATACTACTACACTTAGCCCATAATTCCACATACCCTACACTTATTAACTACCTATTTGATTTAAGCAATACCAGACCAGCTGAGTATCCTATACCTATGTAACTTAGCTATTTAAAAGCTTAATTGCTTGAGGCACAAATGAAGACTTTGATCTATTTTTAGTGAATAGAGGGAGGCAGTACCGTCGCCTAGAAGGCAGTAGTTCGAATGAAGAGGCAAGAGGGTGCCTCTTGTCTCCCACAATGGTTTTTGCCTTGTTCATTACTCTTTCCCTGTAAATGCATTCCACACTTGGTAACGTGATCCCTAATAGTTTACTGGCCAGTGTTACTGTTTTCCTTACAGACTTCTTCTGTGCCTCAGTAGCATTTCCAAACCAGCAGATGATGCAGAAGGCCAACACACTTTCAATAAAAGAAGAATAAAACATCTGAAGCATTTTGTTGTGAACATTAAAAGATGACAATTTCTTTAAAAAGTACATTCTTTGTTGAGTCTTAGTACTGATGAGGTCAGACCACAGATCCCATTTAAGCTTATGGTCAATCACGATGCCAAGATATTTATAATTTGTAACCGATTGTATAGCCTCCCCGTTAATAAAAGTTAAATTTGATGATTGTGTCATTCTAAAATCAATGGACATTTCTTTTGTTTTTGTGGTGTTTAGAAGGAGGCTTGACTTTTCACACCAATTTAAGAAATAGTCAAGAACTGGCCCATGATCCTCCTCATCATCATACAGTAGACTCAACAAAGCAGTATACAAAGCATACTTAATAAGGTGCCTGTTTGGTAAAGTGCTGGTACAAGAATTCGTATATAAAATAAACAATAAAGGAGATAAAACACATCCCTGAGGAGAGCCTGTGCAAGTAGACATCTTGACCGAGAGAGAAGTTCCTGTCCTGACCTGCTGGATTCTACAACTAAGAAAATCAACAATCCAAAAAATCAAGCCAGGTTCAAGTGAAAATTCTGAGGCCAGTCTATCCGCCAAAATACTGGGCTGGATAGTATTAAAGGCCGAGGAAAAGTCCACAAATAAAATCTTAGCGTGGGTCTTTGGTTTCTCAAGGTGAGTGTGCAATAAGTGCAATAGTGTCCCAATGGCATCTTCAACTCCCCTGGAGGCCTGATAGGCGAATTGCAAGGGGTCCAAGAGATGCTGAGTTTCAGATACAATGTACCTCTTTACTAACTGCTCGAAGCACTTCATGACCAGCGACGTTAGTGCAATTGGTCGATAGTCATTTGGTCCAGTGGGTCGCTGAGTTTTTGGCACTGGTATAATTATGGATGTTTTCCATAGTGTTGGGACCTTGTGAAGGTTAAAAGAAGATCTAAAAAGGTCAGTGAACACTGGTGCTAGCTGTTCAGCACAATGTTTTATGACCCTTCCACATATGTTGTCTGGTCCTGAGCTTTTCCGAGAATTACATTTCCTAAAAAGCTGAAGGACTTCTGATTCCTTGATGGAATTATATATATATTTATATATATATATTAAATGTTTATATATACGTTCTATGAAACAATCTAAATTAAATGAAACATTACGTAATATTATATGACTGTGAAATTTGAAATGGAATTTTATATTATATTAGATTAAATTAAATAAATAATTACATAATTATAATCAACAAATATTATTACAGGCATCTGTATATATTTAATAATGATAATAATATTAATTCTACAATTATTATTACATTCTAAAAAATAATTTCAAAGTCTGTATATATTTTATAATAATGATAACAATAATAATTCTATTAAAATTAAGTAAAATTTAACTATTAAATTTATATTTAATTAATTACAATATTTAATTACATGTTATATTATAATCAATACATAATTAACATATATTAATATGGAAGTTTGTATATATTTTTTATAATAATAATAATAATAATAATAAAAATCATTATGTTATTATATTAATGTTGAAGTCTATTTACATTTTTTATAATAATAATAATTAATTATATTATGACATAAAAAATAAGTAATATTGAATTACTTTATATTAAATGTTGTATTATATGAAATAACTTCTGGCCCTCATTAAATGCCATTCTTCCAGTAGATCTAGTATCTGACACTATCATAACCTAAATGAGTTAATCGTCTCTGTGCTATATAAACACCTTAATAAAACCTTTATATGTCAAAAGATGAAACATAAACGGATGTTTCCTCGCCTGGTATTTGGTGAGTAGTTTGCTCTTCCACTGCGAGTGGATGTCATGTATCGACAGTCTCAGGTTGTGGTTGCTGTGACTGAAGTTCAGAGACTTCGGTTCATCGAGTAGTTTCCCGCCGATCTGTTTTTCGATCTGCAGCACCTCCTGCACACACACACACACACACACACAGTACATTTACACTGCACCATTCGCAACACAATATTTAACATCCAAATGTAATGTTAAAATGCATGCTTTTGATGTAACCTTCTCACACTTTTGTCCGTTGAAGAATAATTGTATATTGTTTATATGAAAGAATTAAAAGAGCAGTTTCATGTCTGTATTGTTCAGATGATATGGGATTTAGGTTAGCCAATCATTACCGAGCCCATTTATATATAGTATAGAAGTTTGTTTCATAATAATAATAAATAATAAAAATATGTCATATTAAATGACTTTATTTTAAATGTTGTAAATCATTAAAATATTTAGTAAAGTACAAAATATAAAAAATAAAAATAACAATATTGATGTCTGCATATATTTAATAGTAATAATAATAAATTATACAAAATGATTTACATTTAAATTTCATATTTATATTAAATTATGAAATCACTTAAATTAAAACATAAGAAAAATATATCAATCTTGAAATCTGTAATCCCGGACATTATCTTAATCTAAAATCATAACAGAGTTCATTTACATACAATAGTTCCATAAAAACACAACAGCAGATTCCCGCACTTTGAGTGTGTCCTGCGTGTCGTCGAGGCAGTAAACTCTGATGTGGTAGTCTACACCGGGTGTGACCACAGGCCCAAACACGGCTAGTTTGATTCGCTTAGCCGCTGACGGACAGAGGCTCTGGCCAATCAGACAGTAGGAGCCCAGAGTCTCGGTCAGGATGTGACACGCCTCCTCTCCCAGCTGCACGTAACAGGAAGTCGTGAAGTTCTCCTCTCCAACCACAACCACGTCCTGGACACACAACACACACAACATTTACATATTTACACTATCTACCTACCTACCTACCTACCTACCTATCTACCTATCTATCTATCTATCTATCTATCTATCTATCTATCTATCTATCTATCTATCTATCTATCTATTTATCTATCTATCTACCTATCTACCTATCTATCTATCTATCTATCTATCTATCTATCTATCTATAATCATGACTGTCAGTGGATTAAAATTATTAATCTTAAAGTAATAAAGTACATCTTATTAGTGATTATACCATGGTCTGGGTTAATACTCGATACAATTTATTGCATCAAACCAAACATCTAGTTAGCAGTTACAATAAATAAATAAATAAATAAATAAATAAATAAATAAATAAATAAATAAATAAATAAATAAATAAATAAATAAATAAATAAATAAATATGCCTACCTGTGTGTTTTAATTATAGGTTAAAAAAGCCGAAAGTGTAACGCCCATGGCTAGACAAGCCTTCCATGAAAAAAAAAAAAAAAAAAAGTTAACTTTCTGGCTCGTAAGTTAGCTAAACTGAAGTGTTCTATGAGCTCACGGACTATAAATATATACGGTTGCTAAATAAACCGTCAGGCGTAACCAGGGAAACCAAGTTACTGTTTGTAAAAACTATAGATTTCGATTGTAAAACTAAATAACTATAAACTAATGTTTTAAAAATGCGTTATTTGGCAAGTGACCATGGTATAAGCGGGTTAATGCCCGACGAGGTGTCCATTGTCCAGGTGTTAATGGACTTCGGACGGTTCACGCCTCGCCATTGTCCATTAACACCTGACAATCGACACCTCGTCCTCGGGCATTAAAGGGATAGTACACCCCAAAATGAAAACTCTGTCAGTAATTACTCTCCCTTATGTTGTTCCAACCCCGTAAGACCTTCGTTCATCTTAAGAACATCGAAACATCGAAAAGATATTGTTGAATAAAGTCATTATTTTTGTTTGTTTTTTGCGCACAAAAAGTATTCTCGTCGCCTTGATAAACTTAAGATTGAGCCACTGTAGTCACTGTAGTATTTTATCGATGTCTTTAATAACTTTTCTAGGCCGGAAAGAAGCCTATGGACTAGTATGGAGGAGTGCTCCAGCTCTCAGATTTCATCAATAATATCTTAATTCGTGTTCTGAAGATGAACGAAAGTCTTACGGGGTTGGAACAACATGAGGGTGAGTAAATACTGACAGAATTTTCATTTTTGGTTGAACTATCCCTTTAACCCTTACTTAACCATGTTCCACAATGAAATAATAAATACAAAACATGACAGAAAACTTTCAAAAGTCCTGAAAATAGCTATCCCTGTCTTGGCACAAAAGAATAATTTCATATTATTATTTCCTCTTTTGTGGTTTCTGACAGGTTTTCTATATCCCCACACCGCGTGTGCTTCAGGACATTTGGTCCGCACAGAAATAAAACCCTGTGCAAACACATGCACTGCGAGGGAATCCCGGCCCTGATTCCTCCTGATAAACGCACCCCGTCCTTTCCCCCGCTTCGCTCTTGCAATAATTGTATTTTGTGTTGTCTATTTGTAGAGCCCTGCCATGCACAGCAGGCCAATTTACCCTGCCTGCCTTCACTGATAGTTACATTTATTTTCCAGTCATGTTTCCCTCTCTCTGCAGGATAAGTAGTTTATTGAAATGGAGCGGCTCATCTCCTGAGTTTCCCTGACCTGATTCCTCTCGCTGTGATGCTTTCATTCAGCCACTCGCTGTCCCATTGGCCCGTATTAAAATTCCTCACCTCCCATTGGTCCTGCTGCGTGAGGCTCTTGAGGATGATTTGCCAGTCGTCGGAGTGGGCGTGCGAGCAGTGGTGTAGCGTGAGGATGACGGGACGGGTCAACAGGGCGCCCGCGGGACCACAGCTGACCACAGCGCTGAGAACCGCCTCCCCGTCACCGACCGCCGGCCTGAGAGAGAGAGACAGAAGTATTACACACATTTGCCTGTTTTCTGCTGTCGGAAGGTACAGCAACACACACAACGACAACCAGCACTGTTTGAAAGGTAATAAGGAATTACTATACCCGCCAAACTGTCAGAAAAAGTCAATTGGGTGCTCAATTAGCCTTTCGCCGAGCCCCGCCCCCCTTAGTTACTGTTGCTACCTCCGTCAAACAAATGGTCTAACACGGGCAGCGCGACAGATTGCCATGACAGCAAAGGGTATTCCCGTGTGTGTCAGTGACCTTTTTTGGAGCAATACCTCCGCGATATCAAGCAAGATCGAAGCAAAAGGGGTTACGGTATGCGGTGGAGGGATTTATTCCAAATATAAAATTAAGAAATGAATGAGACACGACTACTATTGATGCTAATGCTTACCAGTCTCAAGAAAAATCAGAAAAACCCCATGACCATGCTAAGTTACCTCAAATGCAACCAGCACAGCCTTGAAGATTTTATAAACTGGTTCAGTGGCTAATTGTTTGGAGTTCGAAATATATAACTTGCGCTGCATATTTATTCATTTTGCCTCCGATACAGGAGGTTCGCTTTAACAAGCAGGTTGTTCATTACCACAGCAACCGATTGCGTGTCATGCTCATGCTGAATGCGATTTTCGTGTTTAAAAAGTAACTAACGTTATGCATAAGAGACGGAAAGAGGCAGAGAACCATACGTTATTTAAGGTTATTTCTATTCGTTACGATATTGATATATGAACTGATGTTGTCATGTAAGCTTCATGCTTTCCCCGTTGCGAACGTCCTCTAAACTGTAGTCTACGGTGCTGCACTGCTAACTTAGCTGACTGCTGCTCATTTTCCCAGAGAATATCATGGTATGTTAACAACAACCCTTTAGAAAATGTACAGTAAGTCCTTTGTGGATCCTCTTGATCTGCTTTCTCCGTGCTTCTTTGACTAATCTCAGTCGCACGCACGCTGCACGGGGCGTCCACACTGTTTAATACATCTTAGGCACGGCTCGCGTTGTGTTTTGGGCTTTGGAAAGGGAAAAAACACAACTTCTCCAGACAATCTCTCGGGGTATCATGTGTCCGATTTACAAACGCCGTGGGCGCACCGCTTACTGTTTGACGGAACAGCTCACACAGTAACGGTTGCTATGATGTGTGATTGGACAATGGCCATTTTGTGGGAGGGGCCGGCGAAAGGTCAATTATCATCGATGAAAACAAATATTTATATTTTTGTGGAAACTTTAATAAATTGTTTCAGTATTTTTTAATGAATAGAAAGATCTAAATAATTTATTTATTTTAAATAGAAATCTTTTGTAACATTAAATAACATATTTTTAATCTTAAAAGTATTCATTTCTTTATATTTTTTCTTACTGTATCTCAAACCTTTTAATGGTTGTGTTTTAAGTATTTAACACATTCACGAATTTTTTTTTATGTGATAATGATACGTAAAGTGTTGTGTATTCATAACATTACCTGGAAAACAACACCATTTCTGCACTCAGTGAGATGTGGGGTGTGATGTTTAGGATGTGTGTGTGTGTATTTTTTTTACCTCATGCTCTCTGTCCTCTGTACGGTCACAAACATCTCGTACACACGACCCTGAGGAATCGCACCGGCTGGAACCAACAAACTCACACCTGCAATGACATTACAGATCGTGGCTAATTAGGACTCAAAATTCAAAATCAATAAATCAACCATCCATCCATCCATCCATCCATCCATCCATTCATCCGTCCTTCCATCCATCCATTCATCCATCCATTCATCAGTCCATCCATCTATCCATCCATCTATCAGTCCATCCATCCACTCTTTCACTCATTCATTTATCCACCCATTCATCCATCCATCCATTCATCAGTCCATCTATCCATCTATCAGTCCATCCATCCACTCTTTCACTCATTCATCCATCCATCCATCCATCCACCCATTCATCCATCTATCCATTCATCAGTCCATCTATCCATCTATCAGTCCATCCATCCACTCTTTCACTCATTCAACCATCCATCCATCCACTCATCCATCCATCCATCCACTCATCCATCCATCCATCCATCCATCCATCTATCAGTCCATCCATCCACTCTTTCACTCATTCATCCATCCATCCATCCACCCATTCATCCATCCATTCATCAGTCCATCTTTCCATCTATCAGTCCATCTATCCACTCTTTCACTCATTCAACCATCCATCCATTCATCAGTCCATCCATCCATCTATCCATTCATCCATCCATTCATCCAATATTTCACTCATTCATCCACACTTTCACTCATTCAACCATCCATCCATCCATCCATCCATCCATCCATCCATCCATCCACTCATCCATCCATCCATCCATCCACTCATCCATCCATCCATCCATCCATCCATACATCTATCCATCCATCCAGGCAGATATCTATCTATCTATCTATCTATCTATCTATCTATCTATCTATCTATCTATCTATCTATCTATCTATCTATCTATCTATCTATCTATCTATCTATCCATCCATCCATCCATCCATCCATCCATCCATCCATCCATCCATCCATCCATCCATCCATCCATCCATCCATCCCTCCATCCATCCATCTATCTATCTATCTGGATGGACGGACGGACAGATAGATAGATAGATAATGTTAGGGGAGTGTTATGTGTCATTTTTGCAGTTCATTACGTGGATTACTAGCTGCTGCCCATCCTGCAATCCTCTCCATTCATTTATCACTGTCACTGACGGTGTTTATCCTCATCACATGCATGCGAGATTGTGAATGTGACATTTCCATCGCATCTTACTGGAAACCAATCCAGCCACATGCCTTAATTAGACTAATGTAGGACTATCAACACAATCAATTAATCATCATAAATTATATCACACGGCGATTCGTAAATATGTTGGGCACTCAGTGAGGACCAGAGTGTGACTGTGCATCATAAATCACACATAATGAGGTGTGTGTGCATGCGCGGGCGATCTCACCTGAGTTGGGAATGATCAGATGACCTCCCAGCGAGTTGAAGGACCCGAACGCTGTGCACGTGGGATCCCGTGTGCGTGCCAGCGTCTGGTTGCGTGGGGTCATGGGGTCGCTGTCCAGAAGAGAGTGGGTGACCTTCGGGGACAGGGTGGCGGAGAGGTCAGAGGTCATGTCGTCCTGAGGGGTCACGGTGCCCGAGGAGTTGTAGACTTTGATCTTGAGGTTTGGAAGTGGCAGTGGCTCCAGCAGAGGGGAGCTGGTCATGGGGATTTTGTCTGAGATGTCGTGGAGGGCATAAACTGGACCGCGATACAGCGCCGCCGCTGTGGACAGGTCAGGGGTCGCGGCCAGCAGATCTGCTGCAAACAGATTACCATTAAATATCATGAATAACATTTGAAGACGTTGGGGAGGGAATTTACTCCTGTGATTAAAGCTGAATTTTCACCAGTCTTCAGTGTCACATGATCCTTCAGAAATAACTCTAATGCTACTGTATGTTCACACCGGATGCGAATAGCACGTCATATTCGCGCCTAGTTTGACGCTTGACCACTTTGAATCCATTCGCCCATCAAGAGCGAATTTGACACACATAAAAAACAAAAGTTTGAAGCGAAATTTATGCGCGTCAGAATTGAAATCCGTTGGCGGACATTTTTTATGTCGACTAAGCATTCATCGAGAGAGTCGCCGCTCTGCATTTGCTCTGGAGAGCAGAACAGCGGCGTGGGGATCATCGTCGGCGTATTTGTGTCCTCCGAACCCGTCGGATTTGCTCGCTCCAGGAGCTGCGCTGGATGGCGGCCGCTGTCAGCGGTACTTCCACCTGTCCCGCTTTCAATTTGATGACCTGTTGTCCCGCATCGGAGCGAGGATCCCCCTCACCCTCATCCATCAAATCTAGCTGTCATTTATTTTTGTTCTGATGATAAATAGAGCCAGCCTCCAAAAGTTATTAACCTGTTCTGTGATTTTTTTCTCTCTCACTTCCAGACACGAACTTATGCACATGTATGTTGGTTGTGTTTACATCATAATAATTTAATATAATCTAGACATGGAATAAATAAAATTAAATACAAAATGAACATGTCTCGTATATTGAAATAAAGTTTTGAGTGATAAAATACTTTGTTGTGCATTAGAACAACACGAATTTAGTCATATTACAAAATAATTTATTGAAGCATCCAGACAATTCACCACGTGAGCAAGCAGCAGGCTTCTGATGGGTTAACGCGGTTCGAATTTGACCAAAGTTCACATTTTTCAGCTCGGACGGCAGACGCGAATTCGCGTCAATGGTCTATATGCACGCATAAGTTCCGCATTTGACGCAAGGATGCTCGTCCATTTCCGGTTGTGGAGATTAAAGCGGAGGAGAACCGAGGAAAACGGGATTATGGCAGAGTCTTCAATATTTACTGTCCTCCCGTCTTTGAAACGAAACGTACATACGTTTAGATGTAATTTTATATATAGTTATGTTTAATTAATATAATTTTAAAAAGAAGCATAAACACAACGAGGGGTGTCTGTTTTATCTGTTTTTGTGACTAACGTTTCTTTATTATAACCATGGAGTAAAAAATTCAATATAAATTCTCGGTATTGCGATCGGCGGAAGTTATCGAGCATCCTTAATCCTTCACCGGAAATACCGCCGTGCATAGAGCCCATTGCGTGAATGCACAAATAGCACTAACTAAATCATTTGCGTGTAACGTACTTAATGCACCAGATGCTCAATTCGCACAGATGCTCAATTTGCGGCATTCGCGTGAACTTGACACGCGCATGAGGCGTATTCGCGTCTACCGCACCACGCTCTACGCCTCATTCGCGCCGTAGGATTTTTTATGCGCGTAACGCGTCTTTGCATTGACTTAACATTGAAATCATTCGCGCCTCGCGAGCTATTCGCGTCCGGTGTGAACGCGCCATAATATGATGATTTTACTGCTCAAGAAACATTTCTGATTATTATCAATGTTGAAAACAATTGTGCTGCTTCATATTTTTGTGGAAACCGTGATTCTATTCATCAGAGAATTCTGAAATAATTGTAAGAACAGTAAATGTTTTGTAACATCATACTGTACTTTTTCATCATCCTTGCAGAATATATATATATATATATATATATGTTGCCAAATCTCTTGAAGTCATTCTTCACATTTAAAAAGACATACTGTAGCTATTTGGTAATTTTCATATGCAATAACCAGTTTCATCAGGGCATTTCATCTACACACTCGCAAATAATTTACTCCATTACATAAAAAAGCCACAGCGGTTGCAACTTTCATTTTCATTTCCCTAGAAGCGACAATCTTTATTCAGCCAAAACACTGCTTTAATCATATACGGTTTTTGACATATTCTACATCAGTTCTGCATAATTTAAATTCACAACTTGGATGTAAACAGCTACTCTACTCTCCACTTGTATTGAGCTGGAACGGCGCATCTTGGTGACTCCATACAGGTTTGGAAAAAACATAGCAGTGGCTGATTGACTCTTTTTTGGGGTGACCTATTCCTTGTATGTTTTTTTGTTGTGTGCTATTTTGAAATGAAATCACCGTGTGTGTGTGTGTGAGAGAGAGAGAGAGAGAGAGAGCTTGTAAAGGACTCTTATAGCCAGCGGCTGGTAATCTCCATACTGATTGCTCATTAACATTCAGCTTCCAACAGTGACTAAACAGAGGATTGTCACTTCGCACACCAGCTCTCTTTCTCTCTCTAGTTACTCAGGTGTGAGCATTACTCACACTCCTGACGCTCGAATTCAAGTTATTCATCATGCGGTGATCGGTGAGACGGAGCAAACCGCACTGGATTGCATCACACCTGCCGATGCAAACGCATCCCAATCTACAGCCTCTGGCGGGAAAGAGCAATACAGGAGAACTGAGGGATGTGGAACGTCTCGCTCTACCATCAAAACATCCCCTACCGCGGTATTCATCAACTCATTCACTGCCGCTTTCGCCCCGACAGGGTGCCATTTACACCTACAGCCCGCCGCATGTTTAATTAACACAGAAAACCAGCGAGAGAATGAGGAGAAAAGCGAGACAATACGAGAGCGAGCGGAACGACCATTCCTCATTAATGATAACCTGTTCAGGTTGGAGAGTGACAGGCATTCTAATGTTCCTCAAATGAAATGTCACCTGAGTCTCACACACACACTCACACACCTCACAATTTAACACCGGAACACTGCCTTGCCTTCCATTCCGTTCACCACTTGATTGGAATTTTAATCATTCCTGTGTCTTACGGTGACACACACACACACGTTCCTTGCTGAAACTGTTGCATTGACTGAAATCATCAGTAAGAGAGATTCTGTCTGAATAGTGTTTTGAATGTTTTACTAAAGCAATAATCCACTCATGGATGTGCGTTATTGTGATTGCAGTGCCTAAAAGCCTAAAAACAGCAAAATGACAAAAGACACCAATGTTCAAAAATAGTTACATTTATGATTAAAGGGATGGTTCACCCCAAAATTAAAATTCTGTCATCATTTCGTCACCCTCATTTTGTTCCAAACCTGTAGGCCAATTACTTTCTTTTCCTGTGCAGATCATTTGAAGAACGATGGGGTCCGCAGACAAGAAAAAAATCCATTGAAAATTCAAAAAATTCAAAAAAATATTAAATTTTTTTTTTAAATTAATTACCAATCTACCAATTAAATTAAATTTACCAATCTACAAATTTCCAATCTTAAATTTACCAATCTACCAATTAAATTAAAATCTACCAATTAAATAAAAAAAAATTCTACCAATAGTCACTTCAACGGATAATAATTTATGGTTTAAATTAGATGTGTCAGTTAAACACTTTATTAACGCCATTAACGCAAACGTAACTGCGTAAATTTTTTTATCGCGCGATTAACAAACTTTGTCGTTTTTCTCACATGCTTTTGCAACAGGACATGGCATGCGCGAGGATGTTTTGTTGCTTCGTCGACAAAAGTGCAAGCGGATCTAGCTAGACCGGAAACAAAACAGGCACGACACGCACACTTGTTTAGGCTTGCGAGCCGGCCAAATAGTAGGCTAACGTTACGTTTTGAGTGGATGACGAGCGCGAGACGCCGAAATGGATGCCAATAAGATTCTGAATGGTTTCATTGACAAGACCAACGTGACATGTGTGTTTTGTCGTTGTGAACTGAGCTATCATCATCACAGCACGTCACACACACACACAGCTGATGCGAATTCTCCGCTCCCTCGTCAATATCAGGACCTCGTCAGTATTTCTTTCACCCTTTTATTGATGGACAGTGTTGAGATTATTTGCTCCAAGTGAGAATGTTAGTGTGAAATTGAACACAGTATATGCCAATGTTGTTTTCAATAAAAAAGCAAGCCGATGCACTTCTCAATGTTGATAAGAGCATTAAAATGAGAGAAAATAATGGGACAAAAAGAAATCAAGAGACATTTAGAATAGATAAAAATGTGTGATTTAATCGCTAAGTTAATTATGACGATAAAATATTTTAATCGTTTAACAGAACTAGTTTAAATATATAATATATATTTTTTTATAAATTCATTTTGTGACCGTAAATTGTTTTATGCGCATTACATGTTCACATATTTGTTGAAAAATACAGTACAAGTAGTAATAAATAAATAATAAAATAACTGTTTTCTATTTGAATATATTATAAAATAATCATTCTAAAATGCCGATTTGCTGCTCAAGAAACATTTCTTATTATTATAAATGTTGAGCTGTGCTGCTTTATATTTTTGTGGCAATCACACTTTTTAAGCAAGATTCTTGGTAACACAATATTTCAATAGTCCACTTTAGACATTCTGCTACTAACTATAAGTAACTTTGCAACTACATGTTAACTATCTCTCATTAGAGTATTAGTAGACTGTCTGCTTAAGATTTGATAACTCTTTATTGTGATGGTCCCCCAACAGACATTCGACTAACTATAAGCAACTTCCCAGCAAACAAATTTAGCTTCTGGGAACGTTAGTTTTTGGTTCCCAGAACGTTCCTAGAACTTTCCCTTAAGGTTAGGGGAAGGTTCCCGGAACGTTCTCCTTACGTTATAAAAATGGAACCTAAAAATAACCTACATGGAACGTTCCTATAACGTTCTTGTTTGGTTCCCAAAAAAATAACCTCATGGGACCATTCGGGAACGTTAGGGGAACGTTCTGTGTTTGCAACAACAAGTCAACTTATTCTTCTAACCCGAATCCTAACACCTAACCATAACCTAACAAATATTAAGCAGACAGTCTACTAATACTCTAATGAGAGATAGTTGACATGTAGTTGAAAAGTTACTTATAGTTAGTGGAATGTCTAAAGTGGACTATCGAAATTCTTTGATGAATAGAAAGTTCAAAGGAACAGCATTTATTTGAAAAATAAACTTTTGTAGCATTATAAATGTATTTACTGTCACTTTAATGCATCATTTTTTAATAAAAGTAAAAATTTCTTTACATAAATCCAATCCGAGCTCAGCACTAAAAGCCGTATGGTCTCACCTGAGCGCGCCTGCTTGATGCTGACAGGCTGAAAGCCACCGTTCAGCACAGACGAGTCGATGATGTCAGAGTGAAAGCGCCGATGCGTCTTGCGATACACGAGCAGAGCCACGATAACAGAGACGACCAGACACATGACCACCGCCATGATGATGCCCACGTACAGCGCCACCTCATCTCCACCCGGAGCCGCTGCGGGACAGACAAACACAGGGCACGCTCACCATCAATACACTACTATATACAGTACTGTCTGCTAGTTAAAGAAACAGTAGTCATTACTCCATGGTGACATGTTTAAAACACTATAAGATTAGTGGAATAAATAAATAAAATAAAACAAAATTTTAATATTAGATGATACCCCCCTGGGATATTAAACAAAATAAAATGAGTTTCATTTGAAGTAGTAAAATTACTTAAACTAAAACTAAAATAGAAATAAAATAAACTTAATTAGAAATAAATAAATAAATAATAATAATTAATATATATATATATATAAATTAAAATAAAAGCAAATTCAAAATATTAATAAATACAATAATTTATATTATTATTATTATTATACAATATTATTATAGAATTATTATTTTATTATTATATTATTATCCAATAATTTATTATTTATAATAGTTTATAAATAATACTAAAATAGCACTGATCCAGGCATATAATGTGTTCAGAAAATTTGCATACTGTGCACATTATACATACTATATCGTGCAGAAATACTAAATGTGATTATGCCACACCAGTCACACATTCAGATAGGTAAAATCAAATGTTATTTACATAATAGCATATTTGCTTATTAAACATAGCCAACAAAGCATTTTTTGCACAGACGATAACTGAATGCCTCTCACAAGGTTATATGATAACAAAGTTGCAAATTATTACTTTAAAATGGTTGAATAACGCCTACCGATTCAACTATTTTTAACACTCAGTGCAGAGTTTCATTTCAAATGACAGATCATCGTAGCGGCATATGGGTTAAAGGTCACGCCCGAGAATGGCCTTTAAAACAAAGGCATTAATCAGTATATAAACCCTGTGCATCAATCATTAAAAAGGAGTTTTCACAGTAAGAGAGAGAAAATTAGACCGCCGACTGCAGGAAGATGAAAAAAAACACCCTGAAAATAGTCGGACTGAGAGAAGAGAATCCAGTCCTTTAATTTAATGAGCCTATAAATTATTACGTGCCATATTGCTCATCTTCCTGGAAATCAGCCTCATTCTTCAGCAGACTGCAGGAGAACAATAGTGACATGTTCATCCGACCTCTTTTCCTGTGGATTCTCTCTGCGTGCGTGCCGTGTGTGTGTGTGTGTGTGAGAGCGTTCTGAATCTGTGTATGTGAAGATTAAAAGGGGATCAGGGCCAAAATGAAACCGCAGCGCTGAAACATCAAAGAGAGAAGCAGCTAAAATCGTCACAGTCTCTGATGTTTAAAGTGTGTGTGTGTGTGTGTGTGGTTAAATCCCCTCTTATGTATCTATTGGACACGCACGCTGGCACTCATCACTCATTAGTCGCATTAGAAAGCAACAAAGGTACACAGATTAAAACTCCACTCATGCTTCAAACATCCGACTTATCAGGCTGACATTGACAGCTGCATGTCTTAAAGAAAGACTACACTCAGGGTTATGAATATTCATTAGGATCCTTCACAGACTTAAGCTCATTGGTTAAGCCCACACTGATCCACCTTACCAGCAGAGGGCGCAAAAATGACAACACACACAAAATACACAAAATTGTTTCAAAGCAGATTTACAGAAAATCATGATGTTGATAATTATATCTTAATATCTTCATACCTTCGTCACATTTAGCAGATTAGAGCGGGGTGAAAATATACTTTACATTTCGCGACGAAACAAGCAATCAAAAAATGTAGATGTGCTATTTTAGTACGTAACGCCTAAGTGAGTCTATATGCAGATGAATTTGGACATATTTGTGACCCTGGACCACAAAACCAAATCACATGGGTACATTTTTTAATTGTTAGGATATGACAATATTTGGCCGAGATCTGAGGGTACACCTTATATGGGTCAAAAATATCGATATTTCTTTTATGCCAAAAATCATTAGGATATTAATTAAATATGATGTTCCATGAAAATATTTTAAAAAAAATATTTTCAAGATTTGTTATCACAACATTTTTTCTTTTGTCAAATCAACTTAATTTATTTAGTTCAGATAACTTCTTATTTAGAGTTTGTTATGATTAATTCATTCTCCTTCATTGTATTAACTCACTTTTTCCAGTTCAATCAAAAAATTTTAAGGCAACCAGGTTACTTACTTTTTTAAGTTAAACCAACAATATTTTTTTACAGTGTACCAAAAAAAAAACATTGAGAAATTGGCCTTTAAAGTTGTCATTTACAGTATGTTCGGGACAGTGCTGCATTCACTAAAATAAATGTATTATATATTTACTATAGGAAATTTAGAAAATATTTTAATGGAACATCATATTTAATCAATATCCTAATGATTTTTGGCATAAAAGAAATATCGATAATTTTGACCCATATAATGTATAGTTGGCAGACTTGGCACAAATATACCCGTGCGACTTGTGACTGGTTTTGTGATCCAGGGTCATATTTTTATACAACTTTATATAAAGAGCTGGGCGATAATTTAGTTACATCTTACAATTGAATAAATATACATTGTAGTATATCGCTTTATGTGAGTGTATTGTGTGTATGGATAACAATTGGATGTAATAGGCCTACATAAAAAAACATTATATTTATAGAGCTGTGCATAGAACAGTTTGCATTTTGTGACGAGCAAGGCGACCATTTGAGCTTATAAAACTTAAACTTTGTTATTTATTTTTTAAATGAGCGATCGTTTCGCTAGATAAGACCCTTATTCATCGTCTGGAATCGTTTAAAGCCCTTTGAACAGTTTGCAGTTTGCACTGAAACTGTCTTTTGGACCTTGAACCGTTTGGTCCCCATTGAAGTCCATTATATGGAGAAAAATGCTGGAATGTTTTCATCAAAAACATTAATTTCTTTTCGACTGAAGAAAGAATGACGTGGACATCTTGGATGACAGTCAATTATCAGCAAAAGTTTTTTTTTTTTAAAGTAAACTACTCCTTTAACAGTAAGTATGAGCAATTATAATAGAGATGCTTGACTCAGTAAACAAAATAGCTAGACAGTGAAATAACTAACCTTGAGAGCAAAAAAAAAAGTGTGTTTACAGTATAAAGCAGCCGTTCAAATGTGTGTCACAGCAGGCGGTCACACTAAACAGCGTTGAGCATGTGACCTTTCATCATCTCTCATGTCGTTATAGTTTTTCCTCAGTGACCGCAGAATCATCTTTCCTCGGCAGTATTGATTTGCTCACACCCATAATTAATTTACAATTAGTGGAAAAATTGATCACAGCTGTGTCCTAATGACTAATATTATTCGATTACTGACTGTGACCAAACATGATTGTCATTAGTTATTTCTCTCATTAACCATTACGGTCTGATCTCTGCGTGTGTGTGTGTGAAACCGATACGCGGTGTACAAATTACACAATGACTTTCACGCAGAGTCGAATTTGTTGAAGGATCTATACAAATAATTATTCATATAATTTTGCTAACACTTCGCAATAAGGTCCTACTAATGTTAATTCATGCATTGACTAACACGCATTTAAGTATTTTACAGTATTTATTAATCTTTTTAACGTTGATAAAAACACAGCTGTTCATTGTTAGTTCAATGTCAGCCCAGGTACATATACTAATGTTAAAGGGATACTTCACCTCTGGAAAGATGAATGTGTATTTAAAAAGGTCATTTATGTAGAAGATATGTGGAATTATTTTTGAATTTGGAGCTTTCTAGACTGAGAAAAGCTAAAAAATGTATTTTTGGCTCATGTGGATGAAAGACAACAACTCCCAGAATGCACTTGCTTCGCTGCCCTAGGAGGCCACGCCTACCGGTAATAGAGCGCAGTCGTTAAACAACAAGTCTAGGCTACTAGTGAATCTCGTGATGTGACTACCCGAAAATGTGTTTCGAGATCGCCCGAAATGTCCGGGATTGGGCTTTTGCGTTCTACAGTCGCCATTCATCATGTTTCCTGTGGCGAGCGGGACGAGTGAGGGCCGCGGGAGAACGGCGCGAGGCCGGTGGCGTGATTACCGATGAGTGACACCTGTGAGACGCACCGGTCTCGTATCTCTCACGGAGGAGCGGGAATTTTCTCAGCAATGTTAAAACGCACATCAACAGCGTTCATGTAAACACTACATTCAGATTCACCAATCAGAATTGAAACAAAAGCTGTGCATGTAAACAATGAATGGCGACTGCAGAAAGCAAAAGCTGAATCCCGGACATCGACTGCCGGACATGCCCGGGGAAAAGAGGATGGTATCTCCGACTACTCAGCTTTCTCCACAGAACAAGAGTCTGCTAGCTTAGCTTCCAAAACAAGATGGCCGACACTATGTGTTCATTCTGTGAGTGAGATCGCCCTCTATGGGCGGGTTGAGGATATGCGGGACAGACCCGACTACTGATGATTTTTGGGTCATCGGTGGATTTTTTCCAGACTAAAAATACATATATCTGAGGGTGGACAGCACGGTAATTCGAAAATACTACAAGTTTCCTTCAAATACAAAGCTTAACGCTAAATCCTGAAGTATCCATTTAATAAATGATTTAGAAGTATGTTTCATTGTTATTGCTTTTTAGTCTCTTTTAAGCTACAAAGACAGATGTTTTTTTCTTTTTCATTGGAATAACACTAAAGATTATTCACAATAAGACCAGAAACATGTATTATGAAAACAAAAGCAGTGTTGCATTTATGCATTCAGACACGTGCACACGTGAGCGTTTGCGTGCGGCAGAAAGGATGTTTCTATGCAGGAGCACGCTTGGCTTGTAAAGGCTATTGATTGCATGAAGGAAGTGATTAAAGTGTTGGGACAGTGCAGATGCTGAGAGGGTTAATGAGGGGAAGGCAGTTTGATCGTCTGCGGGCGGAAGAGCTTCTGCTGATCAGATTCCCTCGGCATCGATCCACAGGGGTTTAACTGAGCGCACACACTCAAGAAAGTTAAACTATCATCTTTTCAGTGGAGTACAGTCTCTCACAAAAAAACAACAACATGATTATTATTA